ACACAAGAACTGGGGTACAGGCTAGAGGTGCGGGGGTGAGAGGATTCACCAGAGACAGAGAGGGGAGCGGAACCGGCAGATCTACTGAGACCCACCACTGTCGCTCCCTGGCCAGGGATCGAACTCATGCGCCGTGGCTGCCACCTAGCTCTGAGGCCGAGGCTTCGCCCCTGCGCCACCGGGGAAGCCCTCCTTTGCCTGTCTTTTCTGGAAATGTCTATTTTGTTCCCGAGCTCATGTTTAAATTGATTTTTAATTTTATGCTGCCGAGTCCTGTGAGTTCTCAAATGCAGCGCTCCGTGAGTTCTTTCTGCAGACCGCGTGCTCAGGGGCTGTCCCCCGCCTAAGAGCCACGGCCCCCCAACACTCCTTCGCTGCGCGGAAGCTCTTCGGTGCGCGGGAGTCTCGTTGCTTTGGCCTCTGCTGTCAAATAAAAACAAAACAAAACCAAAAACATCGCAAGACCACTGGCAAGGCGGCTCCCCCCGTCTCCTCGTAGGAGTCAGGGCTGCAGCCTTCCCGCTCACATCCAGAACCCGGTGAGCTGGGTGTGCTGCGGTGGAGGCTGGAGGCCGGCGGAGGCCCGAGGCCAGCGGAGGCCGGAGGCCGGGGAGGAAGGGCGGGGCGGCCTTGTGTGCTGGGAGCTGTTTCCCTTCTTTTTGTCTCATCAATCCCCTCACTCTTAATCAGTTTGCTCAGATGCTCCAGGGCTTCATGACTCCGCTTCTGTTTCCAGGGATTTATCTGTCTCTTCTGGGTGTTCGCATTTGCTGGTTGCAGCCGTAACAGTCTCAGGCGCTTTCATATTTCTAATGTTTCTCTTTCTCTTGAAATTTTCTTTGTGTTCCTCTCTCCTTCCTGAGGTAGCAGAGTTAGAGATCTGTCTACTTTATCTTTTCTTAGCTCATGTCTTAGTTCATGTACTTCCACTCCCATCTTTGTTAATTTCTCCATTTTCCTAACTTAGGCCTGGTTCATCGTTCCGCAAAGTGTACGTCAACTTGCTTAGACCTTTCTTTTTCCTCAATGCAGCTGTTTATAACTAGACGTGTTCCCCTGGGAACCGCTCTGGGAGAATCCTACTGGTTTTAGTATATCGTGCTTCCATTTTTATTTGTCATTACGCATTTCTCCAGATCTGTACAATGAACACCACAAAGGCTGACCCTTAACGGCAATGACGGTCTTTGGGTGATATCGTCACAGGCCCTGAGAGGGCGCCGCCCGCCACCGTGTGATGCGTCAGCGTCTGCTCACCCGCGTAACCGGTGTCCCCTTGGTGGGCAGGCGATGGCAGCGTCTGTGCGCGTAGAGGGCACACCCCTTGCCCGCCCCTTCCATTCTGTGGGCAGCCGAAAACTGCTCTAAACAGAGACTTTAAAAAGCTCCTTCTTAAGGAAAAAGAAAAATATCAGGTGGTTTCACTTAGAGCAGGAATATAGGGAACCAAACAAGGAATGGAGGGGGGGAAGCAATAAAGAAAACAAAATAAACAGGCAACCATAAATCAGAGGACGGGGCGGGGGGCCGGGACGGGGGGAGCACAGGGAACTGTGATGGCGCACGGGGGGCTGGTGGTGGGGTTCCACGGGGCCCGCCCGAGAGGGGAGCACACGCTGTACAGACGCGAGCGACGACGTAAGTCTATATATAAATAAATAAATTATAATTTTAAGAAAGTTCCTGCTTAACCTAACATTCAATATCCTCAATAAAAATAGAAGGCTTTTTAAACTCAGCTCTCTCAGATCTCCGTTTGATAGAAAGAGGTCGCACTGTTACGTAACTCCTTCTGTTGCCAACACCTATGTAAATCAACTGAAAGACCAAACTGTGTATTAAAAACACCGTAAATAGTTTCTTGGCTCACTGAAAGGACAGAAGGCAACTCTGATCTTGCTTTGTCTTGTTATTTTGTAATTAATAGAGGAATTTAGAAATGCTTTTCCTTCACAGACCTATGAGAGAGGAACAATTAATGTTTCTCCTAAAAAGATGACAGCTCTTGTAAAAAGCTATTTCCAGCATTTCCAGCAGAAAACTAAAGAATCATTTCTCTGGCTTTATTAAGCTCTCCTGTCTCCGAAAGCCAACAAAACTCCAACCCCCCAACTTCTTAAATGTCAGAGCCCTGTAACTAAATGTCTCGATAACTACAATCTGTCTGAGGTTATTATCTGTGGAAGCGCATTTGCTTCTGCCAACTGCATCCCCCTAAGGACGCTGGGCAGCTGATTGTCTCTTTGGGGGCACTTAACCCACCTCCAAGCAACGTCCCTGTGGGGGGCTCCTGCGAGTGTGACCTGGGGTGCCAGCAGACTGAAGGAGCCTTCCAAGACAAGCCAAGTGAAATGCAGCCCGTGGTTACAGAAAGAGGATCCCGCCCCCCACCCCTGCCCCCCCAAGCCTGCCTGCCTGGCACTCTCCTGCTGCCAGGTCACCCCCAAGCAGTCCAACACAGGCACTGGGTTTCTTTGTGATCCAATGTGTCTTATTTTCTGCACTGAGAATATTCTTTCAAGGAGTCTGTAGACTTCGCTAGACGGACCAAGGGTCCCTGACACACATCTCTCATAGACAACGTTCAGAATTCCAGCACAAATATAGGACCAGGAGCTAAACTCCACTACATGTAGCTAGAAGCAAAGCTAAAACAAAACCCTGCCATTTTCAGTAGCCACAAAAATGGCAAGGCATCTGGAAATAAATCTAACAGACTAAGAACGTATGGCCATACTCAGATAATTATAAAATCTTTGGCGAAAGATATTGGAGAAGACTCAGATGGGGAGAAAAGTCACATTTCTTGTGTGGAAATATTAATATCATAATATCTAACATTCGGGAGCGATTATCCCCCTATATGACTCCAAACAAAGTCACCATGGGGTTTTCATGTAACCTGAGAAGATGGTGCAAAGTGTATTTGGAATAGCAAAGTTTTAAAATAGTTCCCTGGGAGACCCCAGGGAGCTCCGTGTGGAAGTGACTTATTAGGAAATGTTCCCAGGGAATCTGGTCTTGCAATGGAGAATATAAGGGAGCCCACAGGGGTGCCGGTAGAGACGGGCGGCATTGCCGGCCCAAGTGAACGAAGTGAAGGGGTTTCCCTGCCAGAGAGCAGCACAGAAATCAATTTATGTAACTAAGGCCATTTAAATAATTAAGACCATTTCAGTAATTAACACCAATTAAAACTTGCCAGAGAGATTGTAAACATTTGACCTTGGAAGAAATCACGGGGAACTTCCCTTCCAGGGGACAAATATGGTGGGGACCCAACACATGCCCAGTGGGTGGGGCGCAGGCGGCCCCCCCCCACCCCCCCGCCTGGGCAGGCAGCGTGGTGGCCCCTGGGCTGACAGACGCATCTCAGTTGCTCTGTCTCCACGTGTCCTTCCTTCTGGATGTCCACCTGCCCGGGCCTCTGGCGAGGACACTACTCATGGGGTTTCGTTGCCTGGTCCACGGTGACCCCAGCATAGCTGAACTGAGAGCACCCACAGGCCCGTCCCCAAATAAAGCGACAAACCGCACGGCTGGCAGGCGTCCTTGCTCATCGGTTTCCGACAGGGCGCTGCGGCTCCCGGCCACCCGCCTCAGACTGCTGCCCAGGAGCGCCTCTCCGCCTGCCACCGCCTGCCCTCGGGCGCCTCGCAGGTGAGGGCTGTGGCTTGCGGCTCCCGAGGCCGCCTCCCTGTCGGCGGAGGCTGGTCCGAGTCCCAGCAAACGCTTGCTTCCAGACAGCTACAGATCAGGGCTCCCCATGGCCCCTGCTCCCACTGTGGGTGCCTAGGCTGGGCTGAGCCCCAACACCCATCGCAGGTTTGATTCATTTGCTCGAACAGCATCCAGAAATCAAGAGTCTCTCACTAGATCATGATTTACCCCGAAGGCCACTGAAAGACAGAACCGACAGCCTGATGCGAGCAATGCCTGGGCGAGGTGTGGGCCAAGGGCTACTGCTTCCACGCGCACTCCAGCCTGCCAGTGTCCCCCAGATCTTCCCGGCTCTCCAACCCGAAGCTCCTTCCTCTTGGATTTTTACGGAGCTTCCTTCCACAGGGCCCAGTAACGACATCAGCGGCCAGTGCCTCGGATGTCCCCCCAGCCCTCCCCGGGGCCCTCGGGCGGGACCGGAGGCCCAGGCGCCCGTCGGGCCGCTTCTCTGACGAGCGCCCCACACCCAGGTGCTGGCCAAAGCCACCTCTCCATCATGGGCCCACGCAGAGACACCTGTCAAGCACTTGCGCCTCCGCTGTTAATGCAAAAGATGTGCTGTTGCCCAGACGGGCCAGGAAATTCCAAGATCTGGGAGCTGGGAGCAGGAACCGCGGGGGGAGCCCGTCGCGGCGTCCACTGGTGTCCGCTGCATGACCCGCGCGTCTTGCCCGTAAGTCACAATAGGACACACTCTGGACGTGGATTTGGGGAGTGAGGGTCAGTGGCGTGAATGGCCAGTTCGCATGGCAACCTGGGCAGCACTAACGTCCGGACGGGACGCTCTGCACTTTAGACCGAGGCGCAAGGGGACGGTACCCCGCGTCGGCCGGCCAAGCGGGCGGCAGAGGTGCGTGTTGCTTCAGGAGGGGAAGGCGTGAGGGCATTTTCTCCTTCTGCTCATCTCGCAAGCACAGCAGGGCAGGCTGGCGACAATGGCCCGAAGCCCCTGCCCGTTTTCACAGTTTAAAAGCCTTGGTTTTTCGTAAGTTGACAGGTTGCTTTCCGGAGAACAGCGCTTCTCCAGAAGGGCCGCCTCGCTCAGACCAAACAGCCATGGCGGGCAGGGGCAGGCTCCGGACCGGCAGGGTGAAGCCGACAGCACTCAGACGGAGGCCCCGGACCCACGCCCGGGCACACCGGGGCGGTGCACACAGCGCCACCGCACGCCTCCAGCCGGCACGTTCTGTCTGCTCTTCAGCCGCATCAGTGCCGCCCAGGGCCCCACCCGGGGTCAGTGCCCGAGAGCCGCGGCTCTTTCCTCGCTCATCAGCAGTTACTGAGAGGTGAGCGCTGCCTCACTGGTGCCTGTCTGGACGCTCGAGGATAAGAGGTTGAGGGGGTCTGATCTGGAACATTCTGGAAAAGGAAGGGGCTCCAAAATGGGACAGGGGAGAAGGTGCGGCCTATGAAGACTTTTTATTTTAAAACACATAAACTCTTTAATGAAAGAAGATATAGACTCTGGCCAATTCATAGATCATTCATGGCTACTCATCATTTTATTCCTGATTTTGTGAACTGTTAATTTTTATCTTTCTCAAACCAGTTTCACTCTGTTCACCGCTCACAAATTCTCACCTGTCCTTCAGCCTTCTGCTTCATCTCCTAATTCCCCTCCTACTTCTCAAGGTGCCCTAGAGCGGCCCACCCCGTCTAGCCCACCTGGCCTATGTTTTCGCTCTGCACCCTCCCACCTGCCAGGATCTGCACTGGGACATTCATGGCGTCGGCTTCCTCCGAGGCTGGGGACCACAGGACCTGTCTGCAAGCGGAACAGCCCCGAGGGGATAATGAGCCTGAAGCAGGAATTTCTGAGTCTCTAGCGACAGCTCCCTATTCGCGGCCCCATTTCATGCTACCTGGGCTCCTCCCTCCTGTCCAGAGCGTAAGCTCAACCTCACTTTAAAACCTGAAAGGAGGGCCTTCCCCGGTGGCACAGTGGGTTAAAGCACAGCACTACGCAGCTAAAGCTAAAGCCAAAGCCGCTTCAGCATGAGTTCAATCCCCAGCCCCGGAGGTGACCCCCAGGGCACAGCAGACCTCTCCTGCCCCGCCTGCTGCTCCCTGCCACAGTGTGTTTCAGTCAATCCACCTGTTCTGCTCCCCACTCTGTCTCTGGTGAAGCCTCTCACTACCTCTGGCCTGTACCCCTGTTCTGTATGCACAGATAAATATTTTTTTAAAGATTTATTTATTTGTGCATACAGAGCTGGGGTACAGGCCAGAGGTGCAGGGGCTGTGAGAGGCTTCACCAGAGACAGAGTGGGGAGCAGAACAGGCAGACCAACGAAGTCCACTGCTGAGGGGAGCAGCGGGCGGGTCAGGAGAGGTCTGCTGTGCCATGTGGTCACCTCCGGGGCAGGAATCGAACTCATGCTGAGTGGCTTTAGCTTCTCAGTGCTGCGCTGTAACCCTCTGCACCCCCAGGGAGGGCCCTGCACAGATAAATCTTACAAAATACAAACAAAAACCTGAAAGGAGGAGGTCAGAGCGGCCCCCTCCCTCTCCTCGGGGGGTCTCACCACGACACAGCAAAGGGTAGCCACTGTGCGGGGGGGGGAGGCTCGGGGAGCTGCCGGAGCCAGAACAAGGCTTTCCTCCCTACTCCTCGCTCTGTGGCTGGAAGACGCGGAGGCGGGGGCCCTCGTGACCCTCACAGCTTCATGCTGTGTCATTTCTCAACTTCCTTGTCGGGAGTGAGAGAAGGTGGCCCTTCCCTTGGGGCAAGGCTGATATTTGAGCAGTGGAGGGAAAGCCGCAGCTCTGGGGCCAGACAGCCCGTCGAGCCCGGGCGCCCTCGTCCGCTCCGCTTGCAGATGTGTGGCGCTGCCGGGCCGCGGGCGGGGGCAGGGGTGTGTCTCCCCCACTGGAATTTCATGCCGAGCATCTGCAGGGAGGGGCCTTAGCAAGGCCGCGGGGAGCCCGGCCTGGCCGCTCCATGCAAGTTCGGGATAGGCCTGAACAGTCAGAGGCACCAGGGGCTGTGAGGGTGGCAGTGCCTGAGGGGCTGCAGTGGGGCCGCTGTCCACCACTGCCCTCGGCCTCCTGGAGGCCAGCCCCGGAGAAGAGGACGGGCCGGGAGGAGCCCGGCCCCCGGGCTGGGACCCACGCGGCCCGACACAGCTCTCGCTGCCTCCGGTGACTCACGCAGGCCTTTTGAAACGAAATCCAGCGGGAAGTGTCCGCCTCTGAACTGGAGAAGTAAGAGGCGAGGTTTCGGGGTGCTGATGCTCTTCAAAAACAGCTGTGTGCGAAAGGTAGGGAGCAGCGAGGCGCTTGCTGCACCCCACCAGGGCTCCCGCATGCGCAGCTGGACGGGGTGAGGCCCCTGCAAGGGGCGTCTCGCGGAGCCATGACTTTGTTTTAAGGAATGTTTTTAGCTCTCTACGCGACCTAGGAGCAAAGCTGTGCCACAGGCTCGCTTCGACCAACGCTCAGGTCCTTGGCATTAAGAACATCCTGAAATAGGCCCTCCCTGGGGGCGCAGCGGGTTAAAGCACAGCACTGAGAATCTAAAGCCGCTTCCGCTTGTTTTTTATTCTCGCTTGCCGCCTGCCCCAGAGGTGACCACAGGGCGCGGCAGACCTCTCCTGACCCGCCCGCTGCTCCCCTCAGCAGTGTTCCTCGTCGATCTGCCTGTTCTGTTCCCCATTCTGCCTCTGGTGAAGCCTCTCGCTGCCCCTGAGCCTATGGCCTGTACCCCAGTTCTGTATGCACAAATAAATAAAAATAAATCTTAAAAAAAAAAAAAAGAATATCCTGAAATATGTACCCCACAACTTGGAACAAGGCTTGGGCTCCTTGGTTAAGATGGGGATGGTACGCAGCTCATCAACTGCTACCAGGGACATGCTGTTTTTAACTTATTAGCGATTGGAGCTTATTCAAGCTGTACCCGAAGCCATATGTGAGATGATCCTTCCGAACACTCCCAGGAGCTCCTAGGCATGAACGCTTCATCCTGCTCTGAAAAGCTCCAGCCGCTCCTTCTGACGCCCCAAACGTGGCTCTATATGACCAGCCAAAGCGGCCCCTGGGCATCCAGTCGGAATTATATTTACAGCCACGTTAGCTGCCACAGAAAATTTCTCCGACGCTGGTAGTACCGCTGTCTGGTTGGCCGGAAAAGGAACTTCTCGTTTCCACACCAGTTTCATCCACCCGGCCTGAGCCCTGGTCCGCTGTCCTTTGGACAAGTCAGAGGTCCAGGAAACAACTGGGTTGCCCACCGAGGTCAGGATTGTGACGGGGTAGTCAAGGTCGTATTGAAGGGCGCCCCAGGTGAGGAACCCCGAAATTGTCCAACTCAGCGCGAAGTGCAGCATCCCAGAGCCAGTCTCACCCGCTGGGCTTCCTTCTTGTAATTGTTTTTATTGATTTACCTGTCGTTTGCCATCTGTATTAAATTGGGGTGCATCTTTCCTCCTCGGTGGGTACCTGCTTCACTTACCCTCCACCTCAGGCCTTGTCCGCACCCCGCTTCCCCCCGCCTCCTCCCTGCTCCACCCCCACCGGTGACCAGCCCCATTTCCATCAAGTCTGAGTCCAGTGTCCTGTGCTCTGCCGGCCCCGATCCACAGGCCAGTAAAGCCACCCCCACCTGACTCCCTTTCTGACCGGCTCACTTTGCCTCATCATCCCCAGGTCCGCTCTTGGCCCCAAAGGCGCCATTTCGTCTGGGTGACCAAGGAGGAGCCTTCGGCTTCCCGCGCCCAACACACGCGGTCTGCGTGACCTGCGAGTGCAGAGGAATCGCTTGCGTTTGAGGATATTTGAAAAAAAGAATGAGTGTCTCTGACATGTGAAAATGACACGCACCTGATCTTAGTTCCTGCAACTAAAGCCCGTCGGCGTGCAGCTCCTCTTCCACACCCCCTCGTCCACCGCCCTCGCCCCGGGCCCTGGCCTCGGGCCCTCGCCTGGCGCCCAGGCCTGCTCGGAGGGGCCGCGCTCGAGGGGAAACCCAGATTCTGGGAGGTTTTGTCTAGCTGGCCGCTGTCCTCGTGTCTAGAGGTGGCACTGGCACTCTCCCCGCGCTGACCGAGGCAGCCGGTAGCCTCACTGTTGGTCAGCCGGGCGGGGTCTGGCGCGCGTCACCCTCCGGTCACCCTCCCGGCCAGACCTGCCTGCAGGCAAGCAGCCTTCGTGCCTGGGCACCTGACGCTGAATTGTTTCTAGAACCCAACCAGCACTCTCGTGTGTACCCAGAAAGCCCAACTCTGAAGCACGAGAAATGCCTTTGCAGAGGGGTTCATTCCAGACAGACATCAAGGGAGTCACGGGAGAGGCTCCCCAAAAATGCAGCACCCCAGTGGCGGGAGGGCTGGGACTTTCTAAAGGGCAGAGGAAGAGGAGTCACTCGCAGGTCCCAGGGCCGCGGCCAGGAGGTGCCGGCGGGTTTCGGGCTCGGTCCCTGCGCGGTGTTTTCTCATCCACCGGCACGCGGTGGTTTCTGATGCTTTTAATGATCATTTCCAAGCCCCAGAAATGCAGGTGGAGCCAGTGAACCGTTAATCACCAGGAGGGGAGGCGGGCAGAGAGGACACGCGCCTCGGGGTTCTTTGCACTTGTTCCAAAGTTTTGGTCTAGGGAGTTTATGTATTTACTTGTTTTCGCAAAATGGAAGGGCTCCAGCCACATGTTTATTGTGGTTAAAAATAAAAGTTACCGGGAGGGAAGTGCACGGGATTATGGTGATGGCACACGGGTGACTTGGTGATGGGAAACCCGCGGGGACTACAATGGAGACGGAAAAAAAAAATGTAAAAATGTAAAATAAAGTGTTATAAAATAAAAAATAAAAATAAATAAAAGTTACCAAAAATAAATAAATAAAAGTTACATGTTGACCATTTTCAAGGGGACAGTTTGTGGCCTTAGACACGTTCACGCTGCTGCGAGACTGACCCCATTACCCATGTCCAAGACGTTCCCGCCCTCCCAAACTGAAGGGGGA